CGCGTCTCACAAGCGAAGGGCTTGGTGGATGCCAACATCCGAACCTTGCGCACTGATGCCACCACCAGGCTGGAGGTGTCATCTGGAAGTTTGGTTTCGACTTCGTTTTCTACAGATTTTTTTTGAAAATATACATGTGGTGGGTTTGGTTTCGACTTCGTTTTCTACAGATTTCTACAGATTTTTTTGGAAGATACCCTCTGGTAAACCAACATAACTATGGAAAATCACCATGCTATTAATGGGAAAACTCACTATTTCAATGGCCATTTTCAATAGCAAACTGTTTGTTTACCAGAGGGTATACATGTGGTTTCTTAAAATGGTGGTATACCATAGCTTTCAGCACTGAAATGCTCTGACTCGGATGATGAGTTGGGGGTAGCCCCTAAACCCTACCTGGTCCTAGCCATTTTTCGAAGTCTTGGAGCTTCGGGCCCCCGGAAGGTTTGCTATTTCACATTGAAAAAAATGGTCCAACTAATCCCTTCATAGGATTTATAGATATGAAATTTATGAAATGATGATTTAGTGGGATTGAATGATGATAGAAATATACTGGGATCGAATTTTTATCACCAACACAGGATCTCCTGGGAATTAATCCCATCCCTCGTGAAAAAAAATAAGCACCCACCAGAAACCATGTTTTGTTGTTGGGGATAAAACCACATATTTGAGACCATAGAATAGGGATGTTTCATATGAATGATGGGATGATTGACCAGGCAAAATTTGATTGACAGAAACATATTGATTACCTGATTACCCTCCGGTACTGAAACGTCACAATTGAACATCCACCAGAAAACTTCGCTGATTTGTCCATTTGAAGCTTCATTTACAGCTGGGCTTTTCCAGCCGCGTTTGAGTGCAGACGCAGAGTTCCCTTGGTGACTTCTAGGCTTGATAAACAGGGGAACTAATGATACCCTCTGGTTATTTAACATAGCCATGGAAAATGGCCTATTTATAGATGGTTTACCTATTAAACATGGTGATTTTCCATGGCTATGTTAAGTAACCAGATGATAACTAATGTACTCAGGGGGATTGTAAACCAACTCAGGAGCCTCAAGCCAGCTTTTCCTGCAAGATTTAGCACATCAATCCATGATGAAACATGGGCCGATGCGGTTTTTATGGTCGCACACCTCCAGATTAGACCAACGCAGATAGAACATGTTGAATTTACCACGACTTTTAGTAGGTAAATTTTAATTCTCCATTTCTGCCTGTTCTGTTTTTTTTTTTAATTTGATTGCTATAGAGACAGATCTGAGTTTATCATAGCCCGTTTTTCGTCCTGGGATGGGATGGTCTCGACAGACTCGACAGGTCAGAAATCTCTGCATCAGGCGTAGTACCGTAGGGGCTACCAGTCCTTGGACAGGTGATTTTGATGGGTATAACTATGGTATAACTGGGTAAATTGATGGCTATGAAATAGCGTGGAAAATGGTGCAGCATGAAATGTTATGAATATTGATGGTATACTATGGTATAGTAACTATGGTATAATAACGATGGTATAATATTGATGGCTATTTGATGGATATAACGGTACGGATTTCAAGCTTCACAAGTTGGGAAACAGGGCCCGTACAACGATGGTTATTTTGAAAGAGAGACGGAGGGCTCAGTTTGAACCCGAAATGCCATAAATATTAACTGAATAATTATTTTTTCATTGAAATATATATATATATATATAGTATTCAATCCGAATAACAATTAAAGTATTAACTGAATCAACATGTTCAACGAAACGTCTAACAATGGGAGTGCAGTAGAGAGTGGGATATTTTTCCAGCAACCATGAGCGAACCAGGTGGACCACGACCCTAAAACTGGAGGAAATGACCGGCAGAACAATGGGTCAAAAAGGGTTCAGTACTGTGAGAAATTATCCCACGAACAAGTGGTTAATAAGCTGGTTAGTAGGTCCCCGATTCATGGATTTTCATAAATGGGCGAACTAATCCCAGTTACAAACCACTTACGAACCAGTTGCGATTCGTTGGGTGATCTTCCAAGTATTCAGTGACAACCAGCATTCAAGTTCCCAAATCACAGCCCTGAGCCCAAAAAAAACCCTTGATTCTTGTTTACATCTCGCTTTGTCAGGAAACGGGGTTTACTCCAAAACGACAACTTTGATTGGGAAATTGATAAAGAATGAGATTTCAAATTTTCTGCGTGCCCTAATATCAGACAGATTCATCTGAATGATATCAGAGAAATAACAACAATATGGACATAGATAGGAAAATAGTAAGGAAACAGATAGGAAAATAATAAAGGATTATACAGGGAAATGAATAGGGACAAAATTAATAGGGAAATAAATAGGGACAGTAATTAATAGGGAAATAAATAGGGAAATAATTTGAAAATAATAGGGACACAAATAGGGAAATAAATGGGGACACAATGGGGAAACTAGGGAAATACATAGGGAAATAGAGAAAATGCATTGGACATAAATAGGGAGACAACTAGGGAAATAAATAGTGAAAAATATGGATATCCAGGATATGGAAATGAATGGAGAAATAAATAGGGACATAAAACAGGACAATGCATTGGTACCCTAACGCATTGTTTAGGGTGGTCTTGCTACCCCTGTTATATCCTTTAGATGAAGGCAATCCCCCTGTGTTTTGATGGATTGCTGTGACCCGTTCCTGTGACCCTGCTGTGACCAAGAAAATTTGTCCACATTCAAGAAAATTGTTGTCACTTCAGCACTCGAATGTATATCCGCATACATACAATATACAGTATATATATATACTTTATTACCAGATTTTTTCTGCACTTGGGACGACGATGCTTCCAAATGCCCAATATATTTTCAGACAAAGGCTGAAACAACCACGAGGGTTTTTAGGAATGTTGATTCACATCCCAACATTCCTAGTGAGTCCTAGTTATCTTCTGAATCTCGTTATGTATCCCTATCGTTACCAGCCAATGTACGGGTTGTCAATGACTTCATCCAGGGGACTGGGCGGAGACGCAGTTCCAGGTGATTGATACTCGGCGTTTGGGAACATCTGAATGTCCTGCACATCTGATTGGGTCATGACTCAACATGAACATCTTGAATCCCAGTTTTGAGCGTTGGTTGTATCGAATGATCTCCGTTGATATTCCATAAACCCTCAGCATTTTCAGATCCATATACATGACATGTGGCTATGGATCAATACCTATACATACCATTTTTAGTGGGATGAACATCCATTTACCAGCTATTTTGATGTTCACCAGGGGTACAAGGTTTTGACACATCCCCATGTGGTAAACCAAATGCCATTTTCACCATCCCCCAAACAGTATCTCCCTATGGAAGGATGTTCCCAATCCCAAATGGTTGGCTGTATGACCTGCGGGAAATACCCTGGAGGGATACATAGGTTTCTATGCCGTTAAATTGCATGCCCTTTTTTGCGACCTTTGCGGACGCAGGCCTAGAAAAATCATATGGTTGGAGGGAATTCTCCGCAAAATCGTTTTTATTGCTTGGTGAGTGATTCGAATTTCGAAGGATTTTTTTTTTCGCGAATGAGGTCGGGCCATGAAATCCTACTTTTTGAGCGACATGGATTTCGCATGGTTCAATTTTTTGAGCCTCCAAATTGGGGTTCCCCAGCAGATGACAGTCGCATTTTTTTGTCGGTTCTCCAGCTTCAGCTTGAGATATCAAGTAGAGATCTCATGGAGAAAGATGGTCAGCAACAAGCAGCTGTGGATTTCATCAAATCAAAATGGGGGCTGGTGACTAGCCATTGGGGGTACCATGGTACCTTCAAGGATGTTTTGTTTTCGTCGCTGGAATGATATGGGAATTCTAGGGCTAACTATGCCCAAGTGGCAGAACTGTTCAGCTGAATTTGGCTGTAGAGATTGCCACTAAGTCACTAACTGAAAACATTCGGCTTGTTGAATTTCAGGGGGAACTTATCCAATGGCTTAGGCCTAGCCTAATAAATTGAGCCAAACAATTGCCATCAGCAGCTGGAGCAATGATTGAAGTGAGTCTCCACAATTCTGAAGTGAGTCAAGAAAATCCTGGGAAGTTGCTCAAAATCCAGTGCTTCTCTAATTTTCTGGGTGAATTATAACGACCTCTCTGTTCTCCCTCACTGGAATCATGGTTAATAAGGGGAATCATCCCAAAATGGCCCAACTATTCAGGTGTGTGAATTATTATAATTTGCCCAGATTTATTTATTTATTTTGTTGCAACCCCATAAAACCATTGCTTTCCCCAATCGAAGCATTGTAATTCTGGACGGGCCCCAACTTCTGGTGGTGAATTGTCATGGTTATAGCCATCAATAGCTATTACCCTCTGGTAAACAAACATAAACAAACAGTTTGCTATTGAAAAAGGGCAGTGAAATAGTGGATTTACTAATTCAAAAGGGTGATTTTCCATAGTTATGTTAGTTTACCAGAGGTTAAATGCTGTTAATAGTAACTGTCGATACAATAACTGTTAATAACTATTAATAAGCATGAATAGCGCCATGTTTTTCTTGCTTTTGACCTTGGCAAAGACGTTTTTCTTCACAGTTCAGGAGCAGAACTGAGGCCACCTATGGAAGCGCTTATAGCTTATTGGCTTGTGACATCGCCACAGGGAGAACGCATCAAATCCGAGTGCACATGCCCCTTGGCAGCCCTTGGATGCCCTTGGCATCGCGGAACAGGGATTTCAGGGATGAGCTTTTACAAAGCGACACATAGGTTTGTCCAACATTGGGGTATATCATCACTATATCATGAGTATATCCTGTGTATACGTGTATATATAACTGGTTGGTGGTTTGGATTTTTTTATTTTCCATAATATATGGGATAATCCTTCCCATTGACTGATATTTTTCAAGATGGTTAAAACCACCAACCAGATAATCATTGCTTGAGTTGACTTTCCATCTGCTGGCTTCAAGTTCACTCATCGCGTCAATTGACACGTGGGGTGGCCCCCGAGACGCCGCGATGGTTTTTTCGCTGTGGAAGGCTGATGTTCGTCACCTCCTCGCCATCTTTGGCGTGGTCCTTTTGGTCTCTCTACATTTGCATTTCAGAAATCCCGATATCTCTGATGTGCTTCGCAGACTTTGGACCTGGTTACAGCCGTCACACGTCCGATTTCAAGGGTCCCAACGACAACTGGATCAACAGAGACGATACGAGACGGAATTGCAGAAGACACGGATTCAGAATTTCATGTACTTGAAGCTGGATGAATAGATAAGCCATACATTTTGAATTATGTCTTGGGCAAAAAGGTAGATAAACGTCACGTATTAGCAGTGAATGTCAACTTTTAACAGGGGATCAGCTAAGCCAGCTATCGCAAGGAACACACCCTTCATTCACTTGAGCTTCGGCTTATGCCTTGCGGCGTTCTGGCGGTTGATGCACACTCCCGCTTTGTTCTTACTTATTCAAACTCTTGTGATCCTCATGGGATATTGCTTGCATTGCTGGGCAGACGGGAGAGTTCTTTCGAATGGTGAGTTTCGTGTTTGGAGGGCAACCTTTATCTTCATTCATTTCACCAGCGCTCTCACCGCATTCAACGACCCCGATCTAGTACTGTTCTGTATAACAGACAAGATCTTGGGTTTCACCGTGTGCTTTTTGAATTTGGTCTTGCTTGATTGCAAAGTCACATTGAGCCTCTATACCTTCGAAGCAGTTTTGCTGTCGTACAGATTATGGGATCTCATCGGTTTCAAAGACCTGACGCCCATCATGGTTTTCGCTTCGGTTGCTTCACACATCCTTTGTGCTGCCACCATTGCTTTGGTGGACATCACAGTGCGCTCGACCAATGTGGCTAAGGCAGTTTCTGACTAAGGTGGTGACGGGTATTTTTGCTGAAGACCAGAACTGGGGATCTGACGACACCACAACATTTCGATGTAACAAAATGTAACAAACCATACCCTCTGGTAAACTAACATAGCTATGGAAAATCACTTTTTTTAATGGGTAAATCCACTATTAATAAATGGCAATTTTCAATAGCCATGTTAGTTTACCAGAGGGTAACAAACCTACAATGGGGAAGGTAAACCGACTGGTGAATGCTGGACATGGATTGATTAAAATGCTGAGGCATGGATCACATTGACATGGCTTGGCTACCCCTTGGCAAATCTGGGCAAAAAGGGCACGGTAGTTCGGCAATTTTGAGCCACGAATCTGGTTCATATATGTGCTATATAAGTTTATATGGCATCTAAATGGTTGATCATCCTTTATCCCCTTGAAATGGCCAAGGCTATTGGGGTGTACCCAATCTTCACACCCAAACGATGCGCAGAAACTCTGCAGGTTGATTCAAGCGACGCTTCATCCCTGATGCTGGGTTTTCGCCACGTCTTGCGGGGTCTCTGCGATGGAGATTTGCTACTGGACAGGAGTAGCTGCAGAATTGTGGACGATGCCAGTGGACTCGAACGCTTGTTGAAGTCCAACAAGACCTTTGGGCACAGGGTTAGGGATGGGTGAAGAATGGATCATGTTGATCTTTGTCCAGCCATTTTCCCCCCTTGTATTTGGGGTGTTGGAGCCCCGAATGGCCTCGAACAATCTTTTTTTCCCGTGTAAAACGGGGGTTTTCCAGGTGATGATTTGTTCAACTCATTAGTTGCCGGGATGAAAGACACAACTCTTTCACACACATACACAACTTTGACACACAACTTTGTCACACACAACTCTTCACATACAACTTTTAAGATGATCAATTTTTCACCATCTCCTTTGTCCCTTCTTCTTTTCCCGTGCCGCTTCAACCACTTTTTCTGATTATTGGAAGAAGTTGACTTGTGGGGTTATCCGGTCCTTTATTTTTTTCATGTTGGAGGAATAACACTTTTGTACTATTCGCAGAGTTGGCCAACGCAAAAACGTTCATCTTTTCCCCACAAGATCTGAGGAAACTCTGTGAAACCAGTTTTTTGGACCTCTTTCTGGACACGGAGAGCCGTCAGCGATTCCTACATTTCCTGCACACTGATGAGACTGAGACTTCTGCAGATCTTGCGATTCCACGGGGCTTGAGGGTCTTCCTTCAGGGCGCCCACGGTCCCGTCTCTATGGATCTCTTCCACACCAGAATTCCCAGCACAATAGGCAAGGCCCAAGAGAAAGAAAGGCAATGTGACACCTTGGTTAATCATGGTTAATTACATGGTAATTACCCAAAGAGCACAGTAATTACATGGTTAATCATGGTTACGTGTAGAATAATGTAGACAAGTACGTAGATATCTTGATGTTATCCCCACACATGTAATTATACAAAAAAAACACATCATGCGTATATCTTTGCTAAAGTCAGTCATACTCACACAATACACAGATGCGCACACGCACACATGCTACATCTATGTGCAATATATGTATAATTATGTATAGATATGTGTGAATACGTTTGACCGCCACATGAAACCAACTTGATTTTTGGACAGACAAATACGACATGGGGGTATGTGCGGTAGGTATTACTAATTGAGAACTTGATTCTCTTTGTTGTAACCAAATCCCAATTTTTGGAGGCAACGACTACTGCTTGCTGGCCATGAAAGAAGATCCAGAGGAGAAACCTCCACCAGATGCTGCGCCCGGTTCAGTTCCTCCTGCAGTTGCTTCAGCTTCCTCTCACACACGCACGCGACCTACGCGGAGCTCAGATACTGAAATCGTCGATGCATACGAAGACCTCATGGAAGTGGCTTTGCTCTTCAGCAATGAGACTGGACTTCTGGATATTAAACAGGTTCATTTGGTATTTCATCGTCAATCATGGGCACCCAACATCGAATCAGGCATGCCGACACTGCGGAGATTCATCAGACCTTCTGATTGGGATCGGATTGAACAGATGATTCAAAATGTCATCAACCTGCCTCCTGCGGACATAGAGCGCCGCTGCTACTTTCGCCATCCCATGCTTTTTCGCGTGCCGGGTTCTTCCCGGAGCTATATTTGTTCCAGAGAAACCTACATCACTTTGGGCCAGCCATCCGTTTATCCCATTGATCAGCAGAGACCCATCCATTTCCGGATGCATCTGTCATCTTTTGATTCCAGTCAAATTCGTCGTCCAAGAGAACAAGAACTGGAGGGCATTGATGAAGAATGACTGAACATTGAAAAAAAAATGTGTTTTCGTCCTCCAAAGGAGCTTGCAGACCAGAATCTCTCCGGGCGGATTTCTCTGTTTCTGATCTATTGTGACCAATCTCGGGGAACCAGGAACAGATGGTGTAGAACAACGGGGATATAATGCAGCAGGGCTGTTGACTACGGCCCTTGTTATCACAAGTGAAAGCTGCTTGAAAAAAAACATAGTATTTTATCATATGTCCGAAACAATCATTACCACGTTTCATTTCTGGTTACCGGTGTTTTGGGCGTGCCTTTATGGACGGTGCTTCCATGTGCTTCCGGCCCCACCACCAAATGAGGGAGTAGGAAGATGGACTTCGTACTCACTAGCGATTGCAGAGGTGACATTCGATGATCATCGGACTCAAAGATCAAACGGGAAAGCACCAGGAAATGAGGTCAGGTAAGATGATTCTCTGCTGTTTCAAGGTTGATTTGTTGCATTTTGTGGCCTTCCGGATGTTTTTTTTTTTTAAGGGGATACAGCTTCATGTTGTGCCAGTGGCCCGGCTGTAGGCAACACCTGGGACATCCCTTGGTGTCAGATGACAAGTATGCTTCAGAGCAGCTCGAAAAGGCTGGCGTTGGTGTCGAAGGGCCCCAATGGCATGAACTTGGTGCGGGTACCTAGTTTGGTGTATATAGATGCTACAGGATGGGGCCCTTCAGTTATGTTTGTTGGTTTATAACCCCATCTAAATATAGTTATGTGCGTATCATACACTATTGTTATATATTGTTATTGTAGATATAAGCTATAAACCAACTTAGCTAACTATGGGGCCCCATCCTGTATTAATGTTGCTATCATTACAGTTCAATGGATTGATCGTGAAGTTATCTGGAGTTGGGGCCTTTGGGGCCCTCCCGCTATCATTATTATTGGGTTCATGGAAGCAAGTGGAAAGTCACGTGTCACATGATCAACAGGAAACAATGGGGGGAATTCAATCAAACTTGTGGCTCTGTGTCTGGAAATGGGGTATGTATATATATATATGTATGATTATATAAGTATATATCATTTATGGCCACTTTATGGAGAAGAATGGAAAAGCATCTTAAATTTGGAGGTAGCCTATTTTCAGACAAAGCCATGCTTGTCATGCTTTACCCCCTGCATTTCATAGGAAAGATTATGATTCCCTGTAGGTTCCAAGCTGTAGTCCCTCCATTTTTGGTCCGACACACTGCTCTTCCAACAAACCCAAGATGGAGATCAGCGATGCAGATTTTCTTCCGTTGCCTTTAGTTGTTCCCTTACCTAAGACCGAGGATATCTTAGGATCCGTCGGGCCCATTTGTGCGTCCTGTCGTTCGATGCTTTTCCGAGAAAAACCTCTTTTTTTGTTGGGGAGCTCCCCAAGCTTTCCACCCAACAAAACAGCTCTGCGACGTGTGAACAACCCATTTTTCAGGGCACTTGGAAAGACGTGTTTTCTGGAACAGCTGGGTCAGAAGCCTAGTTTTTGCTAGTTGTGACTCTACAGGGATATTAAATGATATACCCTCTGGTAATTTAACATAGCTATTGAAAATGGCAATTTGTAGTGGATTTACCCATTGAAAATTGTGATTTTCCATCGTTTTTTGTATGTTTACCAGAGGGTAAATGATATAAATATGGGAATCATAGTGAACCCACTGTTTTTGCTTGTTCAATGCCAATTTTTTCTCAGCCATTGCCCCGCCGAATCGAGCATTTGCCAGCTATCTTTGGGGTAGGATGAACTGATCCATACCCCCCTTGATATCACTGTAATATACTGTAATGGGTGGTCAAAGTGGGCTTTGGGTCACATCCGCTATCATCCAGTTGGAGGCTCGTGATCAAGAACGCTAGTTCGCCTTGTTGGTGGGTCCGGAGTTGTGGTGTTGTTCCATCCGTATGTACTGTATATATACCCTCTGGTAATTTAACATAGCTATTGAAAATTGCCATTTATAGTGGATTTTCCCATTAAAAATGGTGATTTTCCATAGCTATTTTGACATAACCAGAGGGTATATACTAATATATACACTGCTTAGTTTCATTCCTATGGTCGATGTTTCCCCCAACAAATGGGATGCTTATGCCCAATGACGTTCACGGACATTTTCAGCGGCTTGTTATGGGAAAATTTTGGAGGGATGCACGCCCATACATCCCAGCTTGTAGAGGGGCCGAGGTTATAGGGCACCTCAATAAATTTAGGGGAGCATCCGAAAATCTGACGATTACTGCAATTATGTGTCTGTGTGTATAAATATATTATATTATAATATATATATATATATATGTATCATCATCATGTGTCATAATTTCACTATGACAATAGCTATGTTTCAGGGACACATATTTGCCATGGTCCAAAGCCTCAAGGCTCAAGCTTCCTCGAAGCGAGGTGGGAGGGGTGGCGTGGCGCCCCACCAATTGAGCCATGGAGTTAACTCTTGGGCCAGTCTTCCAAATGATGAAGTACCTCACTCCGCCGCCTGTTGCGTGGCCATGCCATTACAGTGTAAATTCTCGGCGATTATCGCCACAGCTTGGCTCGGGACCAATGTAGGTCACTTAGGTTGACACGTGGAAGGTGCCCTCACGATGTGACAGCCAGGTACTTGCTGATGGTCACCATGGACCAGTGGTCGTTTGCTGTTGAAGGTTGCAAATCTGTGATTTGTCTTCAGGCATTTGCCTTTGCTGACCTGCTGGATGTGTCCTCTGATGGAGTTGGTGTGATGCCGACCCCAGAATGTCGCACAGGTCGTGACGATGGCTTGCACCAGGTCATTGGACTTTTCTGCGGTGGTTTCTCGGGGTGGAGCCATGCCTCCAGGGTTGGAGTTTCCCATCTTCACTTGGTGGCGCGTGTTAGCTTTCCACAAGACTTTTGGTGGCGCCTTGATGGCTCCTGGCCCTTACAGAACAAAGAAAATCCGCCAAAGACGCTCAAGAGTGAAAACGGCAGAGAAGAGATGAACTCATGACAGGTAATGTGTTCCCAACTTGACTTGTGGCTGGACCCAACATGTGGCTTTGCCCGTTGTTGTCCTTCCGGCGTGTTTTGCTTGTGTCATCTTGACGTGGCCCTGAGACCAATGAACATTTCCCAAATTTGAGGTTGCTTGGCTTGTCGTTGGCCTCCTTTGCTTACCACGCGTTTTTGCAGAGTGCTTGCCTTGGCCGTGTGTCAACCGCTTGCAGTTGTTCTTGGCTTGATCCGTGTTGTACGGTTTCATGGTCCACCCTCTCTTTTCATTCTCGGACTACCCTTCTGACACCTCGTACCCCCCTTAACCGGGAAGGGGCGTTGGTGCTGCGACTTCGCTCGCGCAGGATTCCGTCCAAAATTGGATGATATGCCCGTGTTTGGAAATTGTCATCAGTCCATCAGCAGGGATTTAGGTATCCAATATAGGGATTCTCATTAAGGGATGGATGACAATACGCCATACACCATCTTCGGACCATGGCACATCTGGGTTTGTGTGAAAATATGGTACCCCCAAATCCTTTGTTTCTTCCGAACAATTTTCCTATATTTTCATGGCTATAGATTGGGGGATCACATTTTGGTCGGGTCCCATGGTAGAACCATGGTCCACGCATCCCTGTGAAGATCTGGTGCCAGGATCGCTCGTGGTGTCCGCGCCTCTTTTTGCATTGTTATCACCTGCGCTTCAAAGATACCAGGTGCGGTATGCGACGTTTTTGGGACTAGTTCTGGAGGATATAGATAATGTGTCCTGATATGTATGTATGTGAATATAATATATGAATATTGTATACGTACATGTATATATTGTGTATTACAGTATGTTGGTTTTGTTGAATACACATACTGATTATTGATAACTCTATGGATACATTATACTGTATATACTTATATTCCATACTACATTATATATACACATACACATACACATATACATATACATACATATACACATAGATATATATATATATTGATATATTATATATACATACATACATACATGCATGCATGCATGCATGCATACATGCATACATACATACATACATGCATGCATACATACATACATACATACAATACTTATCTTAACTTAACATTACATTACATTAGATTACCATGCATGCATGCATGCATACATACGTACATACATACATGCATGCATGCATGCATGCATGCATACATACATACATGCATGCATGCATACATGCATACATACATACATACATACATACATACATACATACATACATACATACATACAATACTTATCTTAACTTAACATTACATTACATTAGATTACCATGCATGCATGCATGCATACATACGTACATACATACATGCATGCATGCATGCATGCATACATACATACATACATACATACATACATACTATACTTAACTTAACTTAACATTACATTACATTACATTACATTACCATGCATGCATGCATGCATGCATGCATACATACATACACACACATACACATTATACCTTTTGCATTCGTTTGCCCGTGAATCTTGATGGAACATGACGGAGTTTGCGGTGCCTTATTTTTTGCATGAACCTATTTTTTGTTGGAATAGACCTAGGCCCCAAAAATGGGTTGGCATGACGATCACATTGACGTTGAGTGAGTTTACTATGGGGGTTCAAAGGATATTAGGCCTACTGGTATGGGTTTTTAAGGAATCATTTAATGTTCCAATTCAGCCTGAACAAATGCAAACTCTGCGTGCAGCGGGCGCCGTTCCATCTTAAATTTCATGGCTGAATGGCAGAGAAGTGCATTGCAAAACTCGACATCTTTTATCGGAGTAGTACGTATTTTATAGTACAGTTCAAAACTTAACTACCCCCTTTGAGACCTCACTTTTTATTGTATTTCTTCACATCTTAATCCAAGGTAGATGTTCTTGAGGGGTAGACAGTTTTACATGGCATTGGCTGTTGCTTAGTGAGGTCTCGTCTTGGTGAAGGATCCACAAAGGGCACCCCCGTTTTAAAGAGAATGGCAAGTTGGTTTCCATAACTCCAATAACTGTTGGGTTTATGGCAGATATATCGAAGTTCATGGATGGTTTATAGTGATATAGTGGTTATATGTGGTTCTACACCAACAAAAGGGCGATTTCGCCAACTTTTTTTGCCCCACCTTTTGTCTCAACCGCCGCAGGAACAAGGAGCATCTCGTGACGTGTTCATTGCCTGGGGATTTGAAGGCAGCCGATCAAATCCACGGGGGGAAATTCCCAATCCCCATGGTACCCAGCCTGGCAAAAAACGGATGGGAAAATCACCATGTTTAGTGGGTAAAACAATTATTTCTATGGCCATGTTCAATAGCTATGTCAAATTATAGGTATAGATTATACCCTCTGGTAAACCAGCATAAGTATGGAAAATCACCATGCTATCAATGGGTAAATCAACTATTTCGACTGGGCCATGCTATCAATGTCGCTTTTTGAATGTATGTTTACCAGAGGGTAATCACGTTCTTTCTCCCAAATATTGCCTATGACACCCATGGGATTTTTCGATGTCCAAATCAGCAGTTTCAAAGCCATATGGATTTTTAGATGCTGATGGTGTGCTGATTTACCCATTGAACAGATTTGAAGATGGTGATTTTCCCTTCGCCATGCCACCGTTTTCGGTCGGATTTCCGGAGGACATTGTCACAAAGATGTGCCCCCTGAGAAGCATCATTGGGTTACCATCCTAGCTGACCCTAGATCTACTTGAATCTAGTGAATCTAGTTCTGTCCTCAATTACCATTCTAGGCCCATAGGTGTATACTTGATTCAAGCTGGTATATCAGTTTATAGACCAGCTAAAAAAGAGGGCCCTGGGGATAGAACTAGACCAGAACTAGACCAACAAAAACCAGCGGCCCATCTGTGCAACCATCGTGGTCACCACTGTCACCTGGGATGGTTGCGAGGTCCGATAAACATCGATAAACCACCAATTTGGGATGGTTGAACGCCTATAAATAATGAACTAATGGGATGTTTACACCACCGTTTGAACAACTGGTTTATCGGATTTCGCTGGCCCATCCACTTGGTATCATTGCTTCAAATCCATGAACAATTCCCTAGATTTATGACCTGTCTGGCATGCGGCATGCGGAAGCCCCCAAAAATGGCGGATCATCATCTTTGAACCCAGTTCCTGGGCACTAAAAAACGGGAGGCCCGGCCCACGCAGTTCCTGTGCACATGGGGAAACCGCTTGGATATACATGGTGAATAATTATAGCAATATACTTCAGCCAGTTAATCCCAGTTATATCTGATATACAGCCCATGTACCAACTTAATGCCTGACATGCATGGTTATTTGCTGGTGATATGTGTAAATTTATGACTTTATACGATCTATAAATACATTGTAGAAACATATATCCGCATCCCAGTTGTTTTGGTGTGTAAGCAATCAATTGTGTCAATAAGCATGATTGGTGTCAATGCAATCAGCATCAGCCACTTCTATGCGATTCCCCATTTTTGGTTGATTCACTCCCGTTTTTGATGGTCAAAAGCCAGGCGTTCATACGAGTTACATCCCTATATCAGGACTCAAAACAAGATATTTGGACCCTTCTTGCTTTCATGGCGTCGTGGATACCCCTATGCATACCATGCAAAAAAAACGACATACCCTCCGGTAATCAACTGTGGCAATGGGAAATCCACCATTGAGTTCGATGATTTTCGCGAACAACACACAATATATATATATCCATCTATAACTGGTTGGTGGTTTGGAACTTTTTTTATTGTTCCATATATTGGGAATGTCATCATCCCAACTGACGAACTCATCTTTTTCTTCATCTTTTTCAGAGGGGTAGGTGGCTCAACCACCAACCAGATAAATACTGTATTTCCCAATGTTTTTTTTCCCATTTTTTTCTTGGGTTTTCCCATATATCTATGGGGGATTCCCATGGATATCCCATGGATTTCCCAGCGTCCCGCTCCGATGAAATTCCAGAGGCGGCTTTGTCGAAGTTGGGTGCTGCTAGTGATGGACATAGCTCTGACCTCCTGTTGGGCTGCTCAGATGTGAGTCCCTTGGGGAGGAAACCACCAACTAATATAACGTTAGTATGCATATAGAACGGATAAATACATAAATATATATAATATATATATATGATATATAGCTTATATCCATTTGATGATAAATCACACTATATTCTTTCCCAAACAATATTCCGTTAGATCCCATCTATACCATTTATATTCCATTGTATCAGCTATCCATTAAGTTTGCCAACAAATCATCCATTAATATCATCCATGTGATCCCATTCCCATTTGTCTCATCATATCCCATCATATATGGCTTTGTGTGAGAATAGGCTAAGCCTAAAACCAATGGTGAATCAAGATGTTCCATGATTTTCCGGAAGTCTAGGGCCATTTATATAGAAGGTATATATATATATATATGCTATAGTCCATTGAGAAATCTGGAGATTGGCCGATTCGGATTTGAGAGGATTGAACTATAACTCTATCTGAAAAATGCCTACTGTATAACATAACAATAACATAACAATGCTGAACATACATACACCTATATGTATGTATAAATACATGAAGGTACAATTTGAAGTGATACAATGATGGGCGATGAAGTTTCGGATACCTTATTTTCAGTCGGTTCCAAATTGCAGATTGCAGCCAAGAATGGTCGTTCAACTGTTGTTACTAGCAGCCTTAGGGAATCATCCAGCTAAAGCAAGTTTGTACCAAAGAAGTATGTAATGTAGTACCCTCTGGTAATTTAACATAGCTATTGAAAATGGCCATTTATAGTGAGTTTTCCCATTAAAAATTACCATTTTAAATAGCTATGTTAAATTACCAGAGGGTAAACCCAATAATCAAAAATCTGCAATAGAGGTTTATGAAATTGAGATAAATTGAGCATATTCACTGTTGAGAACGGTGTTCTTGGGAATAGGAGCAGCAAAATCGGGAAATATCGGAGACCGTCGGGGATATTTAAGCCTAGCTATGCTACTGTACATGCGGATCGTCAAGTATCGTTTAAGTACCCTCTGGTAAACTAACATAGCTATTGAAAATGGCCGTTTATAGTGAGTTTTTCCATAAAAAATGGTGATTTTCCATAGTTTTTTGTATGTATACCAGAGGGTATGTCGCGTCTCTTGTTTGGAGCTATGATTTATATGATCGCAGGAATGAGATGGAGTCAACCATCATGGAGCAACCCAAAAAAAACACAACCCAGCGCAACAGCAATGGATGCCCTCTGGTAGCTGAAGCTATCATATGCGAACCATGGTGCTGGTATATTTACCTACATAACTGGGTGATTTTGTTCGGGCAAATGTTGGTAAATATTCCAGCACCATGGAGCATGGGAATGGAAACCCTCCATTTATGGCTGCAAACGGGGTTCCCATCTACGAGGTTTGAAGAGACGTCTTGGCAACGTGAGGCGGACGGGTGGACTGGAAGATCAGCTGTCTTGGAAGATCAGCCACGAATTGTTAATTGATGTTACCCTCTGGTAAGCAAACAGGTCGCTATTGAAAATGGCCATAGAAATAGTTGATTTACCCATTAAACATGTTGATTTTCCATAGTTTTTGTATGTTTGCCAGAGGGTAATGGCAGTTTTGACAGGGATTATATACTGTACTAGGATTTTATAGGTTTTCACAAGATCACCCGAGCATCTCACCATGGCAATGATTGTCCCTTTAGATTATGGAGAATGAGAAAGCGATGAGAAAGTGACTACTGTTCGGCTAGATTCTGTAGGTTGGAATCTTACAAAGAGGACATTGCCGCATGTGTATCAAGATGTGTCAAGTGGAACATCAAATACTGTCAAATACTGCTTTTCAAGGTGTTTTTTCTCAGGAATCTGATGCGTTGTTTGTTGGTCTTGGTCACATCCCCGACTCTTGTGCTTCGAATACCCCAATTCTTACTGGCCAGATTTCCGTGGGGCAAAAAAACCTGGACAAGACGAGTCGGTAGACGCATAACGGTTTATGTTGAGCCGGAATTCCATGTTTGTTGCTTTAATCCTCAATTGTTCCATGGGAATTCCCAACAAAAAAGGGTCAATCCTCCACTTTTGAATGTCAATTCCTGCAACTTTCTTAGATTCTATGCATTTTTTTCACAACATTTCCTGGTTGCAAGAATCAAATTATATAGATTATAGATTATAGACTATATATATAGATTTATAGAGACTATATAGACTATATAGATCTTCGATTCTCTTTGGGAAATCTCTCCAGGTTTTTCGAGTGCCTTTGTCCGGGTGGCGCCCGGGTACTGAGGTGCGATCTCTTGGTCTTGGAGTAGATCAAGCCATGAATTGCGGGATGAATCATCAATCCAGTCATGATCATAGGATTTTATGGGAAAACCATGGGAAAACCAGGGAAAAATGGTGATTTATATAGTAATCAATCACTGGTTGGTGGTTTCAAACATGACTTTTATTTTCCATTAAACATATGGGATGTCATCCGAAACCCATTGACGAACTCCATCATTTTTCAGAGGGGTAGGTATACCATCAACCAGTAACCATTTTTCGAGGATTTTAACCAACAATTGCAGTAACATAGACCCTGTGGCTGATTATTTTTGGGGTTTGGGACTTCTATCCATGCCTATACTTTATCGAGAAAAAGGAATTTCTACAGCCGGAACCATGTTTGGATTCCCAATCATGCTGGAACCATTTTTGCACACATGTTTTCACGGGGATTTACTGTATCGCATGATGATTACATTGTTAAGTTAGTATTACTTTTCATCCATGAACATTGGTGGTTTGGAACATTTGGATTATTTTTCCATTCAGTTGGGAATGTCATCATCCCAACTGACTAACTCATATTTTTCAGAGGGGTAGGTGGCTCAACCACCAACCAGTCATGAATTGGGGGATGGTCCTCCCATATAACTTGACCGTCGGCCCCGCAGAATGGGGTTGAACTGGCAGCTGGCTGATCCGCTGAGTCGTTGAACGAAAATGGTCCCATAGCCATGGAAATTATGGAACATGGATTATGACTATCAGCCAATGGGAAATCCAGGATCCAACAGATGGAGGTACTGGTAGTACTGTACCATATTTTTGGGCCATATGAATTGTGGGGATATTCCCTGAAATTAAGGCCTAAAAAATAGGCCTTATATATGGAATCGGTACCTCCAATCTGAATCCGTTCCTGTTGCATGGCCATTGAATCAGTTCTCAGTGGAGGGTCATCATCCATTTCTGACAAAGCACTCCGAAGTTGTCAGAACTGTGCATGATTGGTGATGACAGGCAACAGAGTTGAAGAAAATGTGAGAAACATGGGGAATTTATATCGTCAACCAACATCTCTGTGGCCCTTGTTGGTTGATTGGATTAGGGCTTCGTCGATTGTAGCATACTATTATATATATAATATAAATATGATATGACTATATGATATAATATGGAAACCAACTATTAATATAACATTACTCTGCATATAGAATGGATAAATAAATAAATAAACAAATAAATAAATCAATAAATAAATAAATAGACAAATAGATAAATAAATACATAGACAAATAAATATATAATTATATAATTATATATATATATACACAGATACTAATATGTTTATTTGGAATCATCATCCATTCTTTGTTCACCCCTGTTAGCCGGGATAAGCAAGGCATGACAGAAGCTTTTGAACACTGCTCATTTGTTTTTCTGGATATCCATTTTAGACCGCCATTCTTACCTTTCAAAAAATACTTCAACATATCCGTGAATATATCGACGCATGATACCCTCTGGTAAACTAACATAACTATGGAAAAACACCATTTTTAATGGGAAAACTCACTATAAATGGTCATTTTTGATAGCTACGTTAAATTACCAGAGGGTACTAAGAATGAGCCATTCTGCGAGTCCATGGTAGCAGAATTCTGACCACCCAACTGGCGGGTCATTGGGTCATCCTGGACCGGAGGACCTAAAAGATGTCGCTGGTGAAGCTATGACCTACCAGAATTGTAAGACCCAAGTGACCCAATTTTTTGGTCAACCATAACTCACTTATAGTAGATGGACATCATAGATGTCCCAAATTCCCATTGGTTGGTTAATTAATAGAGGGGTTTGTTTAGTTTACCCCTTTAACAACCGGTTTCTATGATGATAGATGGGATTAACCAGCTCCCGGCCCCTCTACCAAAAGGACATTATGCATTGACGGTCGCAACACCTCATCTCTCAGAATCGGATCCAGGGAAAACTGAGATTTTCGGAGACAAAAACCTCTGGTCTTTGGAAATTCAGCAAGCGCTTTCCTGTCAGAAAATTTCTGCAATCCAACCCAGCAACCCAAGTTGCCAACGAAAGAAATGTGCGGCTCGTGACGTCCAATCTGATTCTCAACTTGGCTGTTCTGATGGCAAACCACTGTGACGTCCATGGCTAGTTCGGGGATTCCCCAGCAGCCAGCCATGTTTGATGGCACCGGAAGGTACATTACATCAATAGTATCCATTTATATCCCACTAATATTGGTTACGGTTATATCAGTTGTATCCCGTGATATTCCCATAAAATCCAGTCATTAATTGAATCCATAAATTATACCACTACCCTCTGGTAATTTAACAGTTAGCGACATTGAAAATGGCACATTTAGTTCGTTGACATATTAAAGATGGTGGTTTTCCAGTTCGCAAACTGTAAACGTTTACCAGGCCGGGTAATCCATTGCCGACTGACCGCACCATCCATGGGGTCCAAATTGCGTCGCGAGATGAATGCAGGTTCAGAGGTGCGTAAGCGCGCTTCTTACTGGAAAGTCTGAGTTGGGGAACTCAAAAACGTGTTTGTTTTGGCGGTTACCCTCCAGTCAACTGACAGTTTGCGAACTGGAAAATCACTGTATTTCATAGGTAAATCAATTATAAATGGGTCATTTTCCAATGCTATGTGAAATTACCAGAGGGTACACCCCAGACATTTTACATAGAGCATGCTTATTTTTGTTGGTCATTGTCTGAGGTTTATCAGCCAAAAAAAACCCTGTTGGTTGATGATATCGACGGGGTATCCATCTTTATTCATCTTTATTCAATTTAAAAAAATCGGATGATCCTATCAGAAGTGGAATCCCTATGAGAAAATCAGTGGTATATTTTTTATGGGATATACATGGGAATATCGTGTGAGATAACTGATATAACAATTGGTGAACGACTAAGTGAACTCTACGGCCGTTGTGGCTGAAAAATTAAAAAAGGTTGCCCCTTGCGTGCCCAGTGCCCCATGGCGAGATCTGGCAGAACACTATGATTTGTTGGTCGAACTACTTCTGTTCATTCTAAGATTGCAGGAAAATATGCACATGTGCATTGATCATCATTGATCTGCTGAACTCGCCCCACTTATCTTTCAGCAGTGGCTTTGTATATTTCTTGTAGTTACTTCGTACATAGGCCCTTCATATTTGTCAGAGCTCCGCTGACAGTTGATCTTGCAGTCATCCCACCTTATGAAGCCATCTCTGGCCATCATCCCTGGCCATCTCCAAGTGGTACTGGGGAAACTGTTGGAACTTCTGGATGATCACTTGAGGGTGGGAAGTGGATGGGGAAAATGAGCTTTTGGATGAATCTCCATTCCATCCATTTTTGCATAACATGATTTCACTAGCCAAGCATGACCTTTTGGGTCATCTAGCCAACATTATCCCGTGAGGAGCGGGTTATAAAAAAATCATTAACCTCAAACTTGGGGATGGTGACTATGGCCATAGTCATTGCGACTTCAACCGTTGGAAGTTGGAGAGCCGACTCCAATGATTTACCAAAAAATGGAGGTCTCCTAAGTCATGGGGGTACCCCTAGTTCTCATCCTTTCTTTTATAGGATTTTCCATTGTAAACCATCCATTGTGGGGATTTATAGATAGATTTTTCCATTATAAACCATCCATTTTCCATTTATTGATTGATTTTCCATTTGGGGAACCTCCATCGAACCCCCTAAATAACTCCTTGCCTCAGGCCGGTTCTGCTGAGCGAGATCAATGAGGATCCCGAGGTTAGAAGGCGGGAAAAAATGGGTACACCAGGTATGGGTTACCGCTACGAAATGATGGAAATGCCGGTGATAGCATATTTTTTTGATAGATGAGATATTAAATGATATTAGTACGTAATAGTACCATCAAATTAGTATTAATATGACATATGGTAATAACAATTTTACCCTCGGGTAATCAAACGTGGCTAGCTGGAAACTCTTCTATAGATGGAGGGTTATAGCTGGACAAATCATATAAGTTTGGGATTTCCAATTGCTATGTTTGATTACCGGAGGGTAATAGGAAATATAGTGATAAACCATGAACAATTGGGGTACCATATTTCAGACAAACCCAAATATTGGTTGGAAAAAATGAATAATTGAAGATCTTGACAAGATCTTGATAGAATATATGCTATTCTGCTGGGGAAGCGATGATTTAACATGCCATTTTTTTGGGGGTACCCTATTTTCAGAGGAGTCCATAGTTCACGTCATATTCCTTGAAATTCGGAACTTGCGGGGCAACCTTACGCATGTCAGTTGCCTTCAATTCCTACAACGCGCCCTAAATGCTTAGTACGATTAATACGGAGGTTCAGTTTTTAGCTTTATATAGATTTACCACATAACCCAGCCGTGTAGTTGGTGACTCTCCTGGACATGGAAAAAAATAATTACTTTACTTCGTGTGATCCCCACCATGACATTTATACATTTTCTTACTGGCAAATCTTCTGGCATTCTATCTGACATATCTTCTGACATTCTATTTGGCATTCTATCTAGCATATCTTCTGGCATTCTATCTTCTGGCATTCTATCTGGCAAATCTTCTGGCATTCTATCTGGCATATCTTCTGGCATTCTATCTGACATATCTTCTGGCATTCTATCTGGCATTCTATCTGGCATATCTTCTGGCATTTCTTCTGGCATATCTATCTGGCATATCTTCTGGCATATTTTCTGGCATTCTATCTTCTGGCATTCTATCTGGCATATCTTCTGGCATTCTATCTGGCATATCTTCTGGCATTCTATCTGGCATATCTTCTGGCATTCTATCTGGTATATCTTCTGGCATTCTATCTGGCATATCTTCTGGCATTCTATCTGGCATATCTCATGGCATTTTATCAGGCATATCTTCTGACATTCTATCTGGCATATCTTCTGACATTCTTTCTGGCATATCTTCTGACATTCTGTCTGGCATATCTTCTGACATTCTTTCTGACATATCTTCTGACATTCTATCTGACATCTTTTCTGACATTCTTGCCGTTGAGGTCCGGCAGTGCCCACTGCGATCTGGAAGTCGCGGTTGAGGTCCGGCAGGGCACACTTGGCATGGATCCTCGCGGTTGAGGTCCGGCAGGGAACACTGGGCGTGGATGCTCGTGGTTCAGGTCCGGCAGGGAACACTGGGCCCGGATACTCGCGGTTGAGGTCCGGCAGGGAACACTGGGCGTGAGGTCCGGCAGGGAACACTGGGCGTGGATGGTCGTGGTTGAGGTCCGGCAGGGAACACTGGGCGGGGATGGTCGTGGTTGAGGTCCGGCAGGGAACACTGGGCGTGGATGGTCGTGGTTGAGGTCCGACAGAGAACACTGTGGATCGAGGGTCGCAGTTGGACGAGGAGGACGACGAGGAGGACGACGAGGAGGACGACGAGGAGGAGGAGAGGAGAAGAGGAGAGGAGGAGCAGGCAACGGACATAAAATCTAACAACCCTCACCTGGCAGGTGGGGAAAAATCGGTTGCAGGTTGCTGTCTTTGCTGATCCTGACGCCTCCTATTGCAGGCTGCTTGCAAAGGAGAATCTGACTGCCATCAGCAGAGAATGGCTGGGGAAGAACTATGAGGTGCGATGGAATTTCGCGGGGATGAAAAACCAGCAAACATAGTGATTTAATGGGAGTCCTAAGCTGGCTCGATGTACTGGTAACGCGGCTGGGAGGCTGTTGGTTACTGCTAAGTGCCCAATTTTTGTGGATGGAAAGTCCAGTTGGTTACCCAGTGCAAAGTTCCTGTGGCAGTGAGGCGTTTGAAGTTCTCAACGTGCACGACGATGCAAGCATCAGCGTGTCAGCGCGTCAGCGGGCACCCACCTGTTGGTTATAGAATCCCATTCATCCCCATTAATACTCATTTTTATTGTTGGTTGTGTCACATTATATCCCCATAAAACATCATAAAAACCCATGAAACTACCATGACACTCCCATATTGATGTATTTGGATACTTAAACTTAAACATGTTCTTGGTCAATAAGAACAGTCGCAACAGTATGATATGAGTGTGGCATTTTTTGGAGGGAAAACACTGGTTTTCGGGTTTGTCTGAACATGTTGGGAAGATTGGGGAAACACTTCCAGCCACATTTGATGACACCTGAGGCAAAAAAGATCAAAAAAATACATCAAAAAAGTATCCATTGACATATCCCACTAGTATTGGTTATATGAGTCGTATCCGTATTATCCTAGAAACAATGGATGTTTGTCTGGCGTTGTCTTCTCTCTTCCATCATGGAGATCCCGTCATGAAGATCCCCATAGAGGAAACGATAGAGGGGTTCCGAATTCGTGGATATTCTTGGTGGTTACCCTCTGGTAAATAAACATAGACCCTGAAAATCACCTATTTTTAATGGAAACTAGTCTTCCAACCCCTATCTGCCAGGGTCTATGTTAATTTACCAGAGGGTACCCTCTGGTAATTTCACAGTTTGCTATTGAAAATGACCATAGAAATAGTGGATTTACCCATTAAAAATAGTGATTTTCCATAGCTATGTTAGTTTACCAGAGGGTAATTCCCTGCACAGCTACCCTCCGGTAAACCAACATAGCGACATAGAACATGGCACATAGAAATAGTTGATTTACTGATTTACCCATTTTTAGGAAATGGTGATTTTCCATCGTTTTTTTGTATGTTTACCAGAGGGTATATCAAATCCCTATTCGTCTTGGCGACACATGCTTGTGCATCAAGAGTGGTTTTTCAAATCTCAAGTTTCACTGCTGACATCCCCATGTTCGGTGAGATGTTTCTTCATTCAATCATATTTTGAAGAAACATCTATAAATCATAGATATGGGTTGAATCCGATAATCCACATATTTTCCATTGTGATTATCTGAACCCACAGTTTTCTGTGGTCAGCTTCAGGAGACTGCGCGCAGTGGACGAAGGTACCCAGTTGGAACAACAAATTGAGGTTGGGAATTTCGGCAGGTGGACGCCCATGGATATTCTCCGAGTAGTATACATAGTGTGGCAGTAATCGTATTGTTGGGATAATCACTATCAATCACATGGAAACAATAGTAATTTATATATATATATATGCATATATATATATATATACATATATATATACATATATACATATATATATATATATACATATATATATATATAGTAATTGATACAATATGAATATGATGGGATAATACTATGGGTACCAACAATCATACAATTACAAGGTGCCGCAGTCCAAAATCCCTAAGTTGGTTTCTACAGAACTCCAATAACTGTTGGGTTTGTGGCAGATATATCTCTAGATGTTAGTTCGTTGGGATTATTAGCTAGCTGATAACTGAAGAAAACCACCTTGTGGATGCTGTTTTTGCCCAAAATCAGTGCAGATATCAAACAATTTCCCGAATCAACACGGGATTTCATCCAGTTTCAGAGATCGGTGAACCGTCCTAATATACTCGAAATGAGTTGCCATATGTATATATATATATTATGGGTCCCTTCAACCATGTCCAAATTGAAACCCTGAAAATGAGGAATTCAATGGATAGATTTAGTTGCCATCAACATTGAAATCGCATCTGGTTTTTTCATCAAATTCAAGGGTTTCAACCGTGAAAAAAATTCGTTCAACTAATGCTGGGAAGAACTGGAAGAACTGGAAGAACTTTGGAAATTGATGTGGATTTCAGTGATCGGGCAGGAAAGGCCAGTTGGGATATGAGGCAACTAACTGCGCAAAGTCCTTCCGCTGTGAAAAAAGCGCATACCAGAGATCTTTGGTGAGTGGCCCCCCAAAAGGTGATTTTTTGGGCCTGGCTTAGCCATGAAGCCGTTGACTGTTTTGCTCACTCCTTGCTGTTCCTTGCTGAGGTAATGAATATCTGTTGGTTGATCCCATCATATCCATCTTTGAGTCAGATTCCCGTGTTTTGTGTTCTTAACTCCATTAATTTAATTACCTTTGGTTTGGTATTGAAGAAATCCCGCTTCACCAAGAGACAGGCTGTCGGACAATTGCAGTGTGGTAATTTAACATAGCTATTGAAAATCACCATTCTCAACAGGTAAATCCTCTACAAATGGACCTTTCCCTATAGCTAATTATGTTAGATTATCAGAGGGTGTTTCAGATTTTAGATTCAACGATTCAACAATAGCTAGATTTTAGATTCAATGGCTCATGTATAGAGGAATTACCTATTATTTTCACCATTTCAGGGTAATCCATGTTCATCTCATTGTTAATCACCATTGATGGATATTGAAATCCTATTGATCAGAAAATTCACTGTTAAGCACACCATTATTCATCCATTTCAGCATTTATGGCCCATTTATAGCGGAATTACTGCATTACCCATTATTTTCACAATTTTTAGGGTAATCCATATATTCACCCCATTGTTCATCACGATTCATTATTTTAAGCATCATTCATCCATTTCACCGTGTGGTCATGCGTGCACATTCTCCACATTTACCATTTCAGGAGGCCCCTGAAAATGGAGGAATTACCCTCTGGTAAACATACAAAAAAACCATGGAACATCACCACTTTTAATGGGTAAATCCACTATAAATGGTCATTTTCAATAGCTTTTTGTATGTTTACCAGAGGGTATTTTCGTTCACCACTAAGCACAATAATACTACTTCCTGGTGCGTTTTACGTAGGGAATGGATGGGTTGCTGGGGGTTGCTGGGATGATTATTGATAGTGATGACTGGGATCATTCCCGAAAATTCCCTGCGTAAAACGCACCAGTACCCTCTGGTAAACTGACATAACTATGGAAAATCACCATGTTCAATGGAAAAATCCACTATAAATGGCCATTTTCGATAGCTATGTTAAATTACCAGAGGGTATTCTTCCTCAGCTATTTCACCATTTCAGGAGGACGTTGAAATCCTTTCTGACACTGGAAAAATTCCAGGTCGTCCGATCTGAGCTGGAAGAATTCCAGAGGCAGAAAAACGATGTCTGAAGGTTTCGGGGCGCTAGGAGCTATGGTTGCATATTTTCAATGGGATTTGATGAGATTTGATGGGATTTAAAACGAGTTCATGGGATTTCATGGGATTTAGTGGGATGTTGTGGGATATAATTTGGAAAACCTAATATGATCAACCTCAAGAAAAAGGGGAGCCAAAAAGGGAGCAAAGGAGCTACAGTACGACATCAGTTTCCCAATTACTGTACGTGATGTCGTCAAATTTATGAGTTATCGACCTTGTATTTTGCTCAGATATTGTTTTGAAGTCCTGACTAAAAAGAGCAGACATTTTTTCCATTAAACTTGTGGGTTTTACCAGAAGAAATGTAGGAAGAAGATACACGAACTACCCTCTGGTAATCAAACATGGCAATGTTAACCAACCCCAGTTGGTTCGCAGATTTTCCCATTTCGGCCATGGCTAGTTCGGGGAGGTCGCAGCCACCTTTGAGTAGCGGTATCAGCCTTAACGAAGTCACCAATGTTAAAGATCATTGACACATGGTTATATAACGATCTTTTTTCAATGTGAGATCACCATTTTCAACTAATTTAAGGGTGCCATGAACAAAACCACATTTTTCATGGCGAAATCAGCATTTTCACATATTTTCACTATGAGACCCACATTTCATTCCTCTTTTCGTTTCCGGTGATCCACGTGATCCACTCCGCCAGGCAAAAACACAAGGCCATCGCCCAGGAGCAGTGCGCAGCCGGGCAACGGAAGCCATGAAGATCGATCAACGAGGGATAGAAGCATGGAAGTTCTACATGGTTTTACCATATCTTACCATCCTCCTTGCAATTTCCTCTACAAAATCGCAACAGTTAAGCTTGGGAACATGCTGAGTTTTAGGGCCATGTCACTTAATTCACAAGGGGATGTTTTTCCAATCATTTATGGCTGGTTGGTGGTTTGGAACATGACTTTTATTTTTCCATATATTGGGAATAATCCTTCCCATTGACGAACTCATATTTTTCATGATGGTTAAAACCACCAACCATTTATGGGAATATTTACCCTCTGGTAATTTAACATAGCTATTGAAAATGGCCATTTATAGTTGATTTTCCCGTTAAACATGGTGATTTTCCATAGTTTTTTGTATGTTTACCAGAGGTTATGGGAAGAAAACTGGGAATACACAACCTAGGTGATCTCATTGTTATCCCGTTGGCATCCTAGGTGATATTTCCACATGATACAACGCCGTTGCTGCAACCAGCAAAAGTTACACGGGATTCTAGTCTTTTTTTAAAACCATATCCACAAGATTTGCAACAAAAATCTTCTCCAAAAAATAACTCTTTTTTTTTGGGGGGGGTTTGTTCCTAAATTTCACTTTTTGTTTGTGCCTTCACTTTATGTGGAAGTGGACCCTTGCGCCTCTTTGCCCGATTCGCGCCTGCCAGTCCCCGATTTTTTGCAGAGACTTGGGCTTCTAGGCTTACTGGTGCTTAGCAGGGAATGAGGGAATGATCCATAATCACTAGTAATAATCCCAGCAACCCCCGTTCCCATCCATTCCCCCATTCCCATCCATTCCCGACGTAAAACGCACCAGTAAGTAGGAAATTGGATATCTAAAATGATGGGATGGCTTTTGACTCTAATACAGGGTGCAGTCAAAAAGGGGGTGATCCCATCCTGCACGATTCTGTTCGCAATTTGGGTGAAGACGATGACAACCAATCAATGACCTAGAGTACCAGGGGGTACCTCTTTTTTTCAGACAAATCATATCAAATCATGAACAAGAGTAACAAGAGCAAGAAAAGAAGGAACAAAAATGGATCACAACCACGGGCCAGAGTACTTCTTACTTTTCAACCACGAAAATTTTGCGAGGAGGATCACCAATGACCGGCATGTTCTCGGGGAACGGCACGGCGAAGAACTAAAAATGTTTGGTTGATGAAAAACGACTTGTTGTTTCCTACGTCATGATATTGAATGTGACTTACATAGTCTCACAGAACAAATTTTTCCACCAATATGGATTTGATATGGTTTACCCTCAACATAGCCATGGAAAATGGTCCATTTATAGATGGTTTACCTATTAATAGCATGGTGGATCTTTCCAGTTAGCAAACTGGCAATGTCATAACCAGATGGTAACTATTGATTTTCATTCTCAATCCAATGATTTCTCATAGAATTGGATGATGGGAAAATTGAAACCGGAAAGCCCGATCAATTTGATGGTATTTTAACCATGGGTTTCCGGTGAAGATTTTCCCAACGAATCCAATGATTTCACATTCGAAAAAAAATCGGTCCAGGTACCTCCAAGCTGGTGAAATCAAGAAGCGCTGCGAGGCGGTGGGAGAACTCGGCTGAAACATCCCGTGGCCCGTGGCGCCACGGTGACTTAGATACTTAGGTGGCTAGGGACCCATTTGTTGTGGTTGAAAATTTTCCACTTTTTTTTTTCAAAGTCAGAATTTGAAGTGAAAGGTGGTTGTATCCATTCATGCCATGTGGATTTCTCAAGTGAAAGTCATATTATTTTTTTACGAAACAAAGCATGGTTTTTCCACTTTCATGTGGATTTTTTTGTTAGTTACCCACATTTTTCCCAACGAAAGGCTGGGAATTTGTTCATGAACATGAAAGGCCAAAAATTCGAAACAGCCTTCGCCGGCCTTGGAATCCTGCGCCGAAACGTTCCACTGCAATGCACTGCACTGTTTTTTGTGTGCTCGTGTGCAGTATCCGCAGGTTTCTTTTTCGTAAAGTGGTAACTTTCCACCAAAATATGGACCCCATTTTTTTAACTTTGCAACCAATAGAAAGCATTCTGAGTCAATCATATTAATATGCTTGGTCAATGTGCCATAATAATTTGACCAAACATTGTCTGTGGTTTTGAATCATATTGACATGGCTTACCGATGGTGGTTTTGAACTTCCCTAGTGGGTTCCATCCAGCACTTGGAGATTTCTCAACTTTTCCACTTGGGCCCCAAACGTCAAAAAACGTTCACGTGGAAGCTGGGCAGGATTTTTATCAGAGAATTGGCTTCTAACCAACCGAAATTGGTTGATATATTCAACTGGTTGGTGGTTTGGAACATCAATTTTATGACTTTCCAGAAACAGTTGGGAATGTCATAGTCCCAACTCACGAAGTCCATCATTTTTCTGAGGGGTAGGTTGAAACCACCAAGTAAAAGTTGATTTTTTTCATCAACCTGTAGCCTAAGAAGACGAGTGAAATCTCCTAGATTTATCGCCAGTTCGCCTGGCTGTTCCAAGCGTTGGCTTTTCTAAGGGATCAAAAACAACGTCACTCTTGGATAAATTTAACGTCACCCTGGTTGATGACGAAGATGAGATAAGATGAGAAATGGGGTTATCCCAGAAATGTATCTATAATGGTATTCCCAAATGAAACAACCCAGATATTCCAAAATATGGGGGTGTCTGAAAAAAAAAATGTGCGCCGAATCCCATGGGTTGTCACCGTTTTCGCCTCAATAACATCACCATATTTTGGGGGTCCATGCCGCATTTTTTTCCCACATCCGTATATCAACCACAGTGGTTTCCCTGAGTATGAAAATGGTGGGTATTTTCCCAACTTGGCACCGTTTATATTCCCTATATATTCTGTTTGGTGGTTTGGAACATTTTTTATTTTTCCATATATTGGGAATAATAATCCCAACTGACTAATATTTTTCAGAGGGGTAGGTATACCACCAACCAGATATTCATAACCTCCCTATCCATGCTTTTCTAAGTACCAAAGCAACTTATGACGAATGGCTGGCGGGAAGTTCTTGGGATGTCTGGCTGGTTGGTATTTTAGGGCCAGATTTTCCATGCATAGAGAGAGGATTAGCATCTGGTTATGACTAACCTAACAGTTCGCAAACTGGAAAATCCCCAAACTAAATGGAGGTTTCGAGGTTTCGTTCGCTGGGAAAATCATCTATTTCTATGGGCCATGGCTTCCAGTTCGCGAACTGTTAGTCATAGCCAGAGGGTAATTACAATATCCATGGTGATATCCAACTAATCAACTAATAATCAGGTGGATATCCAACAGGTTAATGAAAATTATTAGTTGGATATCCATATTATGTGGATGTCATCATGATGAAACAAAAATGTGTGGATATCAACTAATAATATCAAGTGGAAAATCATCTATAAATGAACCATTTCCCATGGCTAGTGGCGGCCTTGCCGTTGAAAGTTTGAACGCGCCACCAAGGCTGAAGCAGAACTGGCTTCACTCATGGCCTTGGTGGGTGAGGACCGCCGGGAAAAGTAGGAACTGGGATTAGTTCAGGCATGTATACATGATATATATATATATAGATACATATAAATACATATATACATATATATTTAGATCTACATATATATATATATATATGCATGCATGCATGCATGCATGCATGCATACATACATCCATACATCCATACATCCATACATCCATACATCCATACATCCATGCATGCATACATGCATACATGTGCATACCTACATACAGACATACAGACATACAGACAGACAGACAGACAGACAGACATACAGACAGACAGACAGACATACAGACATACAGACATACAGACATACAGACATACAGACATACAGACATACAGACATACAGCCATACAGCCATACAGCCATACAGCCATACAGCCATACAGCCATACAGACATACAGAACACATACAGACAGACAGACAGACAGACAGACAGACAGACAGACAGACAGACAGACAGACAGACAGACAGACAGACAGACATAGAGACATAGAGACATAGAGACATAGAGACATAGAGACATAGAGACATAGAGACATAGAGACATAGAGACATAGAGACATACATACATGCATACATGCATACATGCATACATGCATACATGTGCATACATGTGCATACATGTGCATACATGTGCATACATGTGCATACATGTGCATACATGTGCATACATGTGCATACATGTGCATACATGTGCATACATGTGCATACATGTGCATACCTGTGCATACCTGTGCATACCTGTGCATACCTGTGCATACCTGCATACATACATACATACATACATACATACATACATACATACATACATACATACATACATGCATACATGCATACATGCATAGATGCATGCATGCATACATGTGCATACATGTGCATACATGTGCATACATGTGCATACATGTGCATACATGTGCATACCTGTGCATACCTGTGCATACCTGTGCATACCTGTGCATACCTACATACCTACATACAGACATACAGACATACATACATACATACAGACATACATACATACAGACATACATACATACAGACATACATACATACATACATGCATAGATGCATGCATGCATACATGTGCATACATGTGCATACATGTGCATACATGTGCATACATGTGCATACATGTGCATACGTGTGCATACATGTGCATACATGTGCATACATGTGCATACATGTGCATACATGTGCATACCCGTGCATACCTGTGCATACCTGTGCATACCTACATACCTACATACATACATACATACATACATACATACATACATACATACATACATACATACATACATACATACATACATACATACATACATACATACATACTACATACATACATACTACATACATACATACATACATACATACATACATACATACATACATACATACATACATACACATATGCATACATATATGCATACATGCATGCATACATGTGCATACATGTGCATGTGCATATGTGCATACCTGTGCATACATGTGCATACCTACATACCTACATACCTACATACCTACATACAGACATACAACATACAGACATACATACATACCTCCATACATCCATATATGCATGCATACATTTGCATACATGCATACATGCATACATGCATACATGTGCATACATGTGCATACATGTGCATACTGTGCATACTGTGCATACCTGTGCATACCTGTGCATACCTGTGCATACCTGTGCATACCTACATACATACATACATACATACATGCATGCATGCTGCCTGCTGCATCATCATGCATGCATGCATACATGTGCATACCTGTGCATACCTACATACCTACATACCTACATACCTACATACCTACATACCTACATACATACCTACATACAGACATACAGACATACATACATACAGACATACATACATACATACATAGATGTATGTATGTATGTATAAATGAGATCATCCACTATTGTTTCACCACGATTCGTGGGATGATCCTCCGGGGTCAGTGGTCGATTTTTGTTAAAACCATGGTTTTTACCACAACCATAAGTTGGGACATTGGACCTCTAGACTTGTGGTTCATATCCACGGTTTGGAACTGAGTGGAACTGAACAATAATGCCATAAACATCCATAAAACCTCCCCACTTTTCACGACCATATGGGGTTGTTTTACAACATATTCCCAGTTGTACGGCACTTGTTATGGGGTGTACCCAATAAGAAGTTTTTGAAGGCTATGGCCTATTATGGCTGATTGCTTGGGGCTACCTCATGGATGAAGATGTGTATGTGAAAGCAACCATTTTCCGAGAAGGTTTTGAAAAAATGTAGTGAGTAAGTAATGGGGTTGTCTCAAAATGGGGGAAGTGGATCCCCGAAGTAAGGTACCCTCTGGTAATTTAACATAGCTATGGAAAATCACAATTTTTAATGGGTAAATCCACCATAAATGGCCATTTTCAATAGCTATGTGTTTACCAGAGGGTATTTTCGTGTGCAGAAGAATGAGTTCTAATATGGCATGGGGTTTCCAGTTGTATGAAGCTCCCCAGATGTGTGGTGTTTTCCTCTTTCCTCCAGGAATCGTTTCTGCGGTTCGGGGGATCATTTCGGGGCAAAATTGCGGAGATGTGAGAAATTCCCAGGTTTGTTTACTGGAAGGTACGATATAACACAAAAAAGTCGGACTTCCAGCATGGATATACTGACAAGATAGTTGAACCTGACTGAATCAGTGGCAAAGTCCCTTGTTTCTTAATGGGTTCTAAACAGGTATAAAACTCCCACCACCCTAATAGTAAATACCCCGTATATAAATTTCCCCAAACATGGGATTTAGGGGTTTGATATTGGGGGAAGGGATTAAAATGCTTCACACTGAGGGACTGGGTTTCAGGATTAACATGCTAGGGTGAGAAATGGTGCGACGTCAGCAAAAACCAACCACTACGTGAAGGTTCTTCCATTTCCAACACTGCATTGGTTGATCAACCAAGCCGGCTTCTACCTTGTATATTTGTTACAGTAGTTGCACTTGTAGTCACCATTTCCATCTCGTGACATGGATGTCGCATCCTACTGTTTCTTGGTGCGAAATTGTGGTGACCTTCCCTGGTATCACCCTTTCGATGTAGCCAGTCCTGTTGGTGAAATTCAGTTCTGGCAGGCCTGGGTCGAATTCGATGATTTTCCCAGCATTCGAAAGCTCCATTCATAGATGATCTTCCCTTTAAAACCAACGAAATCATACGAAATCAGCATTTTTCACTCAGCTGTTTCTTGGCATTTTTTGACATCTCGGCATATTCTTAGTCTTGGCTTGAGGAGGAGGGAAAGCAAGAAGGCCTGGGTCTTCTACGTGGATTCTGGCGAGGGTGATGGTTTGTAGAAGCCATCCCAATCAACAGAAATGTGTCTGGCGAGATGTCAAACAACACATGGCCACATGGCAATCTAAGATGGCATACTGTGGCATGGGCCCAGAAATGGAGAGTCATGAGCATGCACCATAGAAGACCATAGTAAACAATTCAACTTTCTGGGTGACATGTGGTGACCCATGGCCGGTGAATGATACAGTCAACTGTTCAATCGACCTTCTTCTGGCAATCAACTACCCTCTGGTAATCAAACATGGCAAATGGACCCCCCTGTAAATCGTGTTTTAATGGGAGATTCATCTATAAGTAGAGGATTTTCAATTGCAATGTTTGATTACCGGAGGATAAACATCCTTATCATACTATATACTATATAATAAATAATTCATCAACCGAAGCATCCCAATCATTCCTCCTCCTCCTAATCTCGCCCCAATCAAATCCTAATCTCACATTTCTCACCACCACCATCACCACCACCAGCAGCACCAGCACCAGCACCAGCACCAGCACCAGCACCAGCATCATCATCATCATCATCATCACCATCATCATCACCATCACCCCATAAGTTTTTTTGAGATCACCCACATGGCCAGAATCCTTCATCCTACACCATCCACCTGCGTCCTGACCGCAGTGAGGCCATGCTTCCATCAAGTGACACGACTGCACAAAAGTTCACCTGGAGCGAGCCAAACATGGGAATTGAAGCAGCATAAAAATCAGGATAGTTTGGGATATTTCCCTGCACATTTAATAATTTACTGGTTGGTGGTGACTGGAACCATGGAATTTTGAATGACTTTCCCATCATATTGGGGTCATGTCATCATCCCAACCGACGAGGTTCATCATTTTTCAGAGGGGTAGGTGGCTCAACCACCAACCAGGTCATCTCCATACCTAACGTCCATCATATCCTAAATGATTGAGGATAACAAGCATTCTGACTGGATTTCTCTCTAGTTTAATATCATTTTTTTTTGGACTTTTATCGATTTTGAAGCTTCTGTCTAACAGAATTTCAGATCGGAAATCCCTGGGATTGGATCACCAAGGCCGATGTTGTGATTCGACAGTCAGATTCATCGAGGAAAATATCTTGGCTGCCAACGAGTTGAAAACCTGGAAAATATGGGGCGCATACCCTCTGGTAATTTAACAGTTTGCTATTGAACATGGCCCAGTCGAAATAGTGAGTTTTCCGATTGAAAATAGTGATTTTCCATAGTTATGTTAGTTTACCAGAGGGTATAATCTATACCTGGAAACACTTTTCAATCTTTTCGGGGGTTACAATTTTTAATGGGAAAACTCACTATAAATAGCTATTTTCAATAGCTATGTTAAATTACCAGAGGGTAAGTGGCTTTTTCTTAAAAATCCATGGTTTTCAATCAGAAAAAAACGGTTCAAGGACAGGTTCTAGGACCCATTTTTTGGGTGTAACAGTCCCAGTTCAGTTGACCCCAGGTTTGTACAGCTACCGAAGTAACCGTGGTTGTGGGTACGTGAGATTGAGATTTCGCCTCATGAACTACGCAGGCTTCGCCGCAAGGTACGTGGGGTACGTCTCTTTTTAGCTTGGATGATTTATGATTCAAAAATAAGGTTTTTCACCAGCCAAAGTGTGGAATTTCACCAGCCAAGATTGTGACTTGGACAAGAAAAATTGGGATTTCACCTGATTTCACCTGATTTCACCTGATTTCACCAAAAATTTGATGTTCCATGGATTTCAAGAACGCCAAAAATTCTGTGCTAAGGCCTGTGGTGGAAGCCTTTCGAGAAGATGTCAAGGACGAGGCGGCTGGTGGTTTGAACCGAAGGTGGTTTTTGATTCTCCCCAATGGGAAATCCACCGAAAATATGCGGAATCTTTTTTCAATGTGGGCCCCCCTAGTTATAAATTGGTTTAGAAACCCTATTCGAAGGAAGTTTAGACCGACAATATGGACAGATGAAAAGCAGAGATGGGCAGAGGCAGAGAGAAGAGAAGAGTAGAAGAGAACAGATCAGAGAAGAGAAAGAGTCAGAAGAAAGAAGATGCAGATGCGCGAAAAGGTAGGAAAGTTGCGAAACACGGTGTTTTCCCAATGATTTGTGGCTCCGGAGGGTCGAAAAGTAGGCTCGCTAAAGCGGCGGGTGCGGAGCCATCTGGCCAGATGAGAGATGAAAAATTGCACGCCGTTGTGGCGCGAAGCACATTTGCAAGTCAAAATGTACAAGATACACCAGGTTCGGACCACTTTGGAAGTTGAGATGTTGAAAAAGTGCACGCCGTTGTGGCGCGAAGCACATTTCACACCAGCTCCGGACCACTTTTTGGAGGTTGAGATGTCGAAAAAGTGCACGCCGTTGTGGCGCGAAGCACATTTCGATGTCAAAAGTGCAAAAAACTGACGGGTACGGAGCACTTTTGGACGTTCAGATGTGCTTTCGCGTGGCAGGCGCAAGGGATTGTTCACCTCGTCAAAAGTGAGCAAAAAGTGAGGGTTTTGTAGCATGTCCAAAAGCGATGGCAGGCGTGGGACATTTGAAGAGGATCTTCAAAGATGCATTTCGCGTGGCAGGCGCAGTACAAAAGACATGTTCATCAGAGGGGGTCAGGGCGCTGATTTCCTGAGAGGGTTTCCATTTTGGAGCAGCGGATCTTCAGGTTTGCTGAGATGATTTTGCGTGACAGGTGCAGCACTTCGTATGACTTGGCATCACTTTTTCGTCGCAGGCGCAGTACTTTGGACAGGTGGACTGGCAATCGCAACACGCATTGGTACGAAGCTGTTAGCTCTGCACTCAACTTTCCATTTTTGAAGGAAGTCTCGCAGAATTGCTTTGTTTTTGATGTTGTCAAGTTGGAAAAATTGAAGAAGTCTCGCAGAAGTGCTTCGTTTGTGGTGTTGTCACCCGAAAAAAAGTGAGAAAGTCTTCGCAGAATTGCTTCGTTTTTGATGTGGTCAACTTCAAAAAAATGAGGAGGTCTCGCAGAATTGCTTCGTTTTTGATGTTGTCAACTTCAAAAAATGAGGACGTCTCGCAGAAGTGCTGCGTTTTTGATGTTGTCAACTTGGAAGAATAAATAAGTCTCGTAGAATAGCAAGGTTTTCAAGCTTGCAGATAGACAGGTAGATAGACAGATAGATAGATGGATAGATAGACAGATAGATAGATAGACAGATAGACAGATAGATAGATAGCTAGATAGATAGATGGATAGATAGAATAGATGGATAGATGGATAGATGGATAGATGGATGGATGGATGGATAGATAGATAGAAAGATAGATACACAGATAGATAGATAGATAGATAGATAGATAGATAGATAGATAGAAAGATAGAAAGAAAGAAAGAAAGATAGATAGATAGATAGCTAGATAGACAGATGAGAGAGAAAGAGAGAGAGAGATAGATAGTTAGATAGACAGGTGTGAGAGAGAGAGAGAGAGATAGATCGATAGACAGATAGATCGATAGATAGATAGATCGGTAGGTAGATAATCAGAGAAGAGAGAGAAAGAGAGAGAAAGAGAGAGAAAGAGAGAGAAAGAGAGAGAAAGAGAGAGAAAGAGAGAGAAAGAGAGAGAAAGAGAGAGAAAGAGAGCAAAAGAGAGAGAAAGAGAGAGAAAGAGAGCAAAAGAGAGAGAAAGACTGAGAGAGATCAATCACCTTTCAGTCCATCAGTGGATTCGCTCTGCCATCCGTGAGTCACAACAACCAACCTCTCCTATAGGTTTCCTATTTTTGAAACTTCCGGGACCGCCTTGTGCGGTACTACTGGTAACTCTAGTAATAAGTCTCATAAAACATAGTTATAGGAGTTTTCTTGGCACCAACTTAGTGATTTCGTCAACGGAAGGGCCAACCACGAATCCTGCTACGGAATCTGTGAGGAGGAGCTGGGAAGCAACCGAAAATTCCGGAAGGGACAACGATAAGCAACCAATGAGAACCACTGGTAAAGTAACAGTTTGCTATTGAAAATGGCCATAGAAATAGTGGATTTACCCATGAAAAATGGTGATTTTCCATAGTTATGTTAGTTTACCAGAAGGTAACCACTGGTAAACCAATGCGAAGCGTGCAACATACGGATAGATCAATGGGTACTTTCAGACAGCCAAATGATGGTAGTCAAAAGGGGAAACACATTTTTTTTGATGGCCAAACTAGAACGAAATTTGGGAGTTACCCTCTGGTGATTTAATACAACCATGGAAAATGGCCCATAGAAATAGATGGTTTACCTGGGTTTACCTATTAAAAATGGTGATTTTCTAGTTAGCTATATTAAATAACCAGATGGTAAGTAACTTATCCAAAACGGTGGGATGACAATGGGATGACAAAGCCGACGGCTGGATCCAGGAAGCATCGCAAGCAAACTGTCGCCAAAGCAGCCAAAAACGATGGTTTTCGCTAAGATATCCAAGCAAAAAAGTGGGGTGTGTGGAGATTTGACACTATTTACTTTTCGAGAACGAAAAAAAATGCAATTTTCGAATTCCCCTTGAAATGGATTTTTACTGGGACGATGATGGGAAACATAATTATTTCTTTGCAACAAACAAAAAGGATCAAAAAGGACTACTAAAAGTCAGCTATATACAGGATGGCCCCCCCCAGTTATAACTTGGTTTATATACCATAACAAAACCCCCATTAACTATAGTTATATCAGTTATATCTACCATAAACCATAGAATTCAACCACTTATAAGGCAACTGAACGCAATCTTGGGGGCCCCATCCTGTAGGGATGTAATTTACTAAGGATCTTCAAGATGGGGGAAGACTCGGAGACTCAGAGCCAGGACAAGTCCTGCATACTGACGAAGCACGTCAGCTCATACAGGGTTGCTACAACCCATAGGTAAATAATAGATCTGATAGCCACAAGAGGGGTAAACGGGTCATTTTACCATATTATACCTCTGTATTTACTTAATTTACCTCCCAAACGTACCTGGGGTG